GGTCTTCTTTGATGCCCTCCTATACAGAGGCACCTTCTGAGTCTGAGGAGGAGGAGTATGTTCCTGATGGCGAGGAGGAGGAGGCCGAGGAGGAGGGTGAGGAGGAGGAGGCCGAGGAGGAGGGTGAGGAGGAGGCCGAGGAGGGTGGAGGGGAGGTTGATCCCGCGTTGTGGGGTGACTTGCCACCGGGTTCTTCGCAAGGGTGGCTGCGTGGTAATGCCGGACTACCTACACCACCTTCTATCGAGGAGCACAAGTGGCTCATTGAACCTGTGGGGACAGAGTAAGTGCCTCTCAATCATATTTTCAACGCATGACAACATTTTCTTATTGTACACATGGCAATCATTTGATTCTTTTGCAGAAACTGGATCCTTCACGGAAAGGGCCGTAAACCGAACGGCCTTATCACTGTCCTGTTGAAGGAGTTTTGGCCTGGCCTATTCTGCCCGCGGCCAGACAGGGACCCGCAGCAGCGGGTTTTGGCCACGAGCTGGGCCCACTACAAGGCTTGCAGCAACGCGGAGTACGGGACGACCGCTAAGGCCGTGATCACCAAATTTTGGGTAAGTTCTCTTCTGAATCACTTGTCTTCAGTTTCGTTCATAGTTTATCATTGAATCACTCAACTCATGCCTTGTCTACTTCTGGTTTTTGCATGATTGCAGCAACTCTATAGAGTTCTTGACGAGCACAAGGCCAGAGCCGACGTGGTCTTGCTTGCGGCTGCGAAGAAGAAAGCTCGTCAGTTGCAGTACGAGGTGCGCTGGGTTGCCGTCTCGCAGTACTACCACTACTACCTGCAACAAAAGATGCCCAAAACTTAAGCGCAGAAGCTACGACTTACCTTGAGCAAGGAGCAGTTCATGATGGTAACTATTACTAACTTTTCATTGTTTCAAGCAGTCAACTATATGTTTCGTGCTCACATGTCATGCTTCCAAAATTTGCATAGGTTATTCCTCGTTGGTGCTATGGAAGGCATGACGGATGGGCGAGTTTGGTGGATAGGTGGCTCGGCGCCGATGCAGAGTTTGCTGCCAAGAGCATCAAGGCCCGGGCTAACCGTGGAGACGACGGGACACACGGCCAAGGAAACAGGAACCACTGGGGCTTCAAGGCCATGAAGGTATATCTATGTGCATGATGCATTTTTGTTCTTCTTTACGTCATGTTCTTATGTATGACTGACTTCTATTTGACGTTGTAGGAGGACAAGTTGAAGAGGCCGCTCTCAGACATGGAGTCGTGGAAGCTGGCCCGCGAGCGGAGTCATCGCAAGGAGGGCGAGAGCCAGTACTACGGCAAGACCGAGGAGCACCTGGGGTCTTACATTCATCACTATTAGGAGTTGCATCCGGATGTTCCTGTTGCTGAGGTCGCCCAGTCTCAGATCGACGACACGGCGGTGGTGGCCATCCAGGGGAAGAAGAATGGCCGGTATCCGTGTTTCGATGGCTTGATCACTCCTTCGATCTCGTACACACGGCTTCGGGCTAGCAACCCGAGCCAGTTAGAGAGTACGGGGCGTTCACAGACTCCCTTAGCCCGCCAGCATGCTGTAAGTACTTCCTCTTTATCTTTTTCTATCTTGCATTCTCAGTTTATTTTCAGCATTGCTCACTTAGAAACAACCTAAATTATGTAGGCATATAAGGAGTTTGTCGAGCATAGGAATCTCGAGGTGCGGGAGTACTTGAAACGAGTGAAGGCAAACGATGATTACAACCGTCAGATGATGACGGTTAGTTTTGCCCTCTTAAAACCAACCTAAATTTTTGCACTTTCATTCCTTCTGATCTTCTAGTTTGCTTGTTTAACTAACATTCAGGCTATGTTGGCATCTTGGACTAACCGCACAGATCCACCACAAATGGGACCCCCACCACCACCTGCGGGAGAACCCCCACACGTGCCCACGTTCGATGAATGGGTGGCACTAGGCAGTGATGGTCCGGTTAGTACATTTGCCTAACTACTAGCAAACTAGTTCTCGTTCATGAAACACTATCATATCATATTTACCGTTAGAATCTTTTCTGAAACATGTAGGGGACCGGTGGCTCGACTCCTGCTCCGTCGACCCCAGTCACTCCGATCTGGCAGAGTGGTGGTGGTCGCGATGGCGGTTTTGGCGGAGGTGGTGGTGGTGGTTTTCGCGGAGGTGGTGGCGGTGGTTTTGGCGGAGGTGGTGGTTTTGGCGGGGGTGCTCTTGCTTGATGATTCCGTGCATGTGGCCATCGTTCCATGCCTTTCATATTCCTACTTTTATCATGTTTCATGTCTTGCACTACTTTTATGTTCATGAACTTCCATCGGTGATGATCTTTAGATGATGTGATGAACTTGAGTATGTTTAGATGATGATGGTGAACTTGAGTATGTTTAGATGAACTTGAGTATGTTCACATGATGAATTGTCATATTTCTGCATAATTTCATATTGTTCTATTTTGAAATGCTGTCAAATGAATTGGAAAAGAGAAAACAGGGAAAATAAAAAAAAACAAAAAAAACTATGCCTGCGGCAAAGCCGTCGGCATATATACGCCCAGGAGTTACCAGGAGCTGCCACATGGCAGAGATATGCCTACGGCAAAGCCGTAGGCATAGCCCTGCCGCCAGGAGAAGCCGGGGGACGACACGTGGCGCATGTATGCTGACGGCTAGGCCGTCGGCATAGATTTCCATCTATGCCGACGGCTCGGCCGTCGGCATACATGCGCCACGTGTCGTCCCCTGAATCGCCAGCGCTGTTGACGGCGCCGTCCGTTGCCGTCAGACGGAAAACAACGCCGACGGCTAAACTATGCCGACGGCTCTCCCACGGCCGTCGGCATATGCTCCTATGCCGACGGCTATACTACGCCGACGGTCTGACACATCTACGCTGACGTGATCTACGCCGACGGGGATATGCCGACGGCAATGGACCTATGCCGACGGCCCTGGGCCATAGGCATAGCCCGCGAGTCCGGTGGTGCGAGGGGAAAGCACGAGATCGGCCAGAAGCCCAGAACCGCCGCTGCGCTCCTGCCTCTCCCGTATCTCCCTCTCTCTCTCTCTTCCACGGCAAGCGGAAGGCACGGGATGGGAGGCATCCCAATCCTCTAGACCCGTACGGCACCCGCAGAGGATCATGTGTGGGTTCCGCGTAGGCGAGCACAAGGGGCGGCGACGAGATCGGGAGCGAGGGGTTGGGACGTGCGACCTGTGTGACGACAGCTTTCGTTCTTGTTTCGAGCTGGGATTGATTAACCGGTCCGTTCCCTCGTTTACTTACCGCTGGTTAACTCGAAAAAAAAACAATTAGATGAGGGCGACGTGGGTGGGAGGATGTATCGATAGCTAGCGATAGGAGGGAGGTCGAACCATCACGACGTTCGATTCTCCTTTTTAATAGTATAGAGATAGAGATAGAGATACTTCTACAAAGGAAGGGAAAGGCTGGCTGTGTTTGATTTTTAGAAAAATCGGTTGTTCTTCCTAATATGGTGGGAAAATCGATTGTTTACTCTAGAGAAATGTAACATATTTTTTCTTCTAGAATATCACATGCCTAAATAGTAAATTCCCAAGAATAATCATAAAATAGTGATTTATAGATGAGCCTACAATTTATTAAAAATTGGGATGCCACTCAATCTACTAAAAAACATTATGTCACCCAGTTAGTTAAAAACAGGCACCGTTCATTTCTAGCAGCCGACCAATGAATATATATTTTACATACATGATTTTTAATATATACTTTTCCTAATATATTTTTATATTTCCCATTTTTGTTGGTCATATAGAAACTGGTGGATGATGCTTTGAAAATATCGAGTGATATAGTCATTGACGTAACGATGATGGACCGGACTGAAAAATCAACGAGTTTTACGCAATCAGAAGAGGTGCATGTAAATAATTCTTCTTCTTTGTATGTTTGTTGCACATGATATAATACTCAAAAGATGTACTTCTATATGTGTTTAATTTTCCCATGGATGAGCAAATTTATATATTTCATTATGATAATATTTAAGATACAATCATTTTTTATCACCATATTGAAGATAATATTAATTATTCAATTGCAGGGATGTGTCTAGCTACTTTGTTTTTGATTATGTTCTCATTGAACGGTACAGAATTGGTTCGTCCAGTTTGCACGGTGGGTATTCTTTGCTGCAAAATTTTAGACCTTCCATGTAAACTATTTGTGTTGACTACATATACTGCTTGTGATGGATAGTTGAGGAAGATGTTTCTATTATACTTGCTTAAATATCGTGTGAATCAAGCTAAAGACAACATTTTTATATTGAGCGAGAATATCTTAAGTGCATCAAGTAGATCTTAATTCATAACTTATTATAGTTATATCATCGCTCTAGGTACACATCTTAAAATTGCCTTTTTTTTATCAACCCACTACCTCCGTCCCAAATTATAAGATCATTGTTGACATTATGATAGTGTCAAAAAGTGATCCTACATTTGGGAGTACATTGTAAGTGAAGTGAATTCCAATTTCTACCCGACTTTTACTGTCTATCTTTTCTATGAAGTTTAACGTGCATTATGTTTTAGATATAACTCCAGTAAAATATTTCAAATGTCCATGACAACACACGAGCATTCTACTAGTCGTATGTAGAGATAGAGACTCCATAGCGTTTAAAAAAGACGTGATCGGGAGGGGCGTGGTCAGGGAGATGAGGGATGAGGCGTGTGGACATGTGTTCGTGGGTCGTGGGATCTTTTTTTCCTTTTCGTATTGGCTCATTGGATGCATGGGCTCGTATGAGAGAAAAAAGATCGGTGTTGGCTGCATGGAAATGTAGGAGGGTGGGAGAAGGTGGAACTATCACAAGGACATACTCCCTTTAACAGTACCCAGATTATTATTATTATTCTCACGCAATCATTTATGCATGAGTACAAGTCAAGCATTGAATAATTCCTCTCTTATTAAAATCATTTTCCTCAGACGGGTGGAATAGACCATTTGCTCACTGGTCCGCAGCTGGCGGCGGCTTCTTCTTCTTGTGTTCTCCCAAGGGCGGCTCCGGCACGTCACCTTCATATGGCGGTGGCGGCTTCTTCTGAGGATCCGGCACCACGGGTTCACCCGGTGGCTCTGGCACATCAGGTTCTGACGATGGTGGCGGGGCTTTACCGCATTCATATGTACACATGCACGTCTTTTTCTTAGGACGTTTCTTATAGAAGTTCTCCTCGTTGTCTTCGTTGTGGTCATCGCCAACAATTGACTTCTTACTAGAGCAGTACCCACCCTTGAAGTGTTCTTTGTGACAGGCCGCGGTGCAGCGCACGTTCTTGCAAGGGCTCCTTTTGTACGACTTGCTAGGGGACATGCATACCCGAGCCTCCACACCTGCATGTGACATAGAATTAATGTGTGCACCAGAAAATTATAGTAGCAGTTGTTTCATCGATTGATCTAAAATTGCATGGAATTGCAATGCGATAAAATCTGCTATATGAACTTACATAAGGCCATGAGAAGAAAGCCCATGGTGAAGGCAGCGAGCATCTGGGCGCCGCTGAACGCCATGGCCAAGTGCTCAAAATAAGTTGTTGGAAAGGATGTGTGAGGAGAAGAACGGGGTTTGAGTGCTATTTATTGCATTCCTCTTGGCTATCCATTCAATGCCTTAGAGGACATGGAAATCCAAATGTTGAAAACAAGCATTTGTGTAATGTCTTAGAGGATACGAAAATCCAAATATTGAATACAAGCATTTGTGTAATGTCTTAGAGGATACGAAAATTCAAATATTGGATACAAGCATTTGTGTAATGTTTTAGAGGATATGAAAATCCAAATATTGGATAGAAGCATTTGTGTAATGTCTTAGAGGATATGGAAATCCAAATATTGGATACAAGCATTTGTATATAGTATCTATCTCCAGTAATTAATGATGTGTGTCTAAATAAAAGCTTGTGCTACCCGGCCAAAAAAACCTTCTACTGGCTCTTGGTGCAATTACATTGGTGGCAGTGTAAGAGCAAAACACAAATAATACTTGGCAACTCATAGTTGCTTACATGGAAAAAAATATGTGAGAAAACTCGTCGTGGAAAACAAATTATGTTAAGGCCATCTCTAATGCAAAACGCATATGCATATGTTTCGGTAAATAAAAAAATGTGATTAGATTTCAGTCGACTGAGACTGCAAAAGAAAAAAATTAAAACAAAATTTTACATGGATCACAACGTAAGATCTAACGAATATAGCATCGACTAAAACTTCGTTAAGTCCTCAGTCAAGTGAGATTCTGGAATCCCCCCAAAAAAATATCGTTGAGCACTTTGTGATTCAACGCCCAGATCTGAAGGGCGTTCCAACCTAATAATGCAACATCTTTATTCAGGGACAAGAACTTGCTGCTCTCGAGTACCTGCGCATCCTATATGCACAAAACAAATTAGTAATTCAGAAAAAGTTCAAAAAATTCCAAAACTTTTTTAGAATCAAACATGATTAGGTATTGTACTCGTATAAAAAGTTTGGACAAGAAATGATTCCTATTGACTTCAGGGCAAAAAAGACAAGTCTATGACGATAATATAGCGTGTATAGTATTTGTATATAGCGTTTTTTACCTAATCTTCGACCCAGGATGCAACGAATGTCATTTTCTGACGAATCTTTTTATACGACTACAATACTTGATCAAGTTTGATACCAAAAAGATTTGGAATTTTTTGAACTTTTTTGAATTACTAATTTTTTGCTGCATATAGGATGCGCCGGTACCCAGGTTGTCCTTCGGATCTTCCCTTCATTCAACGGCTAGTCTAGCTAACATGGAGTCGATACGTGGTCATTTGGCTTGGTATCTATATCCGGGCCTCTTATATTCGTCTCAAACGTTCGGGCAGGCTGTCCAGTTATTGATCAGTCACAAAAAATAGACCCAACCGGACCTCTCAAACCGTGGATAAATGTCCGGTCTGACCGACACGCCTCATATACAACCCAAATATAGAACGGATATGGAGCGGCCCAGGCACACCTGGGCGCGTCCGCTTGACAGTCCCGGCCCACCACTGACCCCACATATGTCCCACAAAAAAATCAATCCGAGAGCCTCGCTCCGAACCCTAG